TCTTCCTCCTTCATCAATTGTGAACCATCTCCGCCCTCCAAGCTCTCCGTCGTCGACACCAATTCAGGTGTCTTTTCTTCCCAAACAGCCACCTTGTAACATAGTCTCTCATCGTGGATGAACACCGCCGATGGGCACTCACAACCAACTCATACTAGAATACGAACAAACTCAACATCAGACGACTCATCCGCATCCACCCACACAAAACCACCGCAAAGGTCCCCAATGGACACAAATAGAGCATGGCACCAAAGATGGAGAGGAAGACCATACATCAACACTTTTTTCAGACATTTTTCTCTCAACACCTCAGCACAGCCCGTCCTAAAACACCAAACATCCATCCGAAGAGTTGCATCTCCCCAGTTCCAATGACCTTCCCTTAGAACTCGCCTAGCCTCCGACTTTGAAGGTAGGCAGAAGAGGAGAAGTGAGTCTGGTAGTGGTGAGACCCCAACCCCACAAGAGATATTCAATGCACAACCAGCCCAATCAGAAATCTGATCTCTACTACCAACATCTTTATCAAATTTGCCAACCAAACACGCTTTGAGAGCCTCCCTACGCCCCCCTACAGAGGCATCATCCAGGTAGATCGAGGGTCCTCTAAAAGGATTTGCATGCCATCTCCCATGTGAATTTGTAAAGTGGTTAAGTGAGTCAATGAATTAAGCTCATCAAGCCCTGCATTCCCTTCATCCCCCCATCCCCCAAAGTCATGTGGAATGTACCCAGATCTGATACTTCCTTGATACTCCGAGTCACATGTCTGATAAGGCTTGATAATAACATAATTTCTCCATGTAAAATATAATACCATATTGGTAAAGAAATGCATGACAAGAGTTTCAAATACTTCCACCTTAAGCATATATATATATAATATGACAAACCTTCCACCTTAAGGTGCCGCTCATTTGGTCTACACAACAACCAGAGGCCCAGAGCTTGCAACATTCCAATGTGGGACCCTAGGAGCTCCCATGAACTGACTCACTACATTAACCACATATGAGATATCAGGCCAAGTAATGGTGAGATAAGTTAGTTTTCCAACCGGACAATGGTATCTGCCAAGGTCATCAAATAAATCTCCCTCAATAGCCAAGAGTTTAAGCGTTCGGATCCATATGATACTAGACGACCACATAACAGACTTGTTTCCTCTAGTAAGTCTGGCACATACTTTCTTTAGGACAAATTTATGCCTTGTTTAGATAGAGATTTTAATGCCTAAAAAGTATCCGAGTTTACCCAAGTATTTAGTCCGAAATCAATGTTGTGGTAACACTTTCAACTTAGCAATGGCCAAAGAGTTATCCCCAGTGATAACGATATCATCCACATATACTACAAGAAAATGTAACCTGCTTCAGTATGCTGACGAAGTACTGAATGGTCTATTTGACATCTGTGAAGAACCAATTCTATATTGGCTTAGAAAAATTTCCAAACCAAGCTCTTAGTGACTGTTTCAAACAATATTGAGCTTTCTTTACACGACAGCCAGTGTGTCGATACTCCCAGTATGCAACAAACCCAGGTCGTTCCTCCATATAAACTTCTTCAATAAGTCACCATGTAAGAAAGCATTTTTAACATCTAACTAAAACAAGGGCCAGTCAGAAATAGAAATTAAAATACAAACAAAAGAAATCTTGGAAGGACTAATCAACACCATAGGTCTATGTATAGCCTTTAGCAACAAGGTGTGTTTTTAAACGCTCAATATTGAGCTTTCTTTACACGACAGCCAGTGTGTCGATACTCCCAGTATGCAACAAACCCAGGTCGTTCCTCCATATAAACTTCTTCAATAAGTCACCATGTAAGAAAGCATTTTTAACATCTAACTAAAACAAGGGCCAGTCAGAAATAGAAATTAAAATACAAACAAAAGAAATCTTGGAAGGACTAATCAACACCATAGGTCTATGTATAGCCTTTAGCAACAAGGTGTGTTTTTAAACGCTCAATGGGACCATCAGGGAGATATTTCACAGTATATACCCACTTACAACCGATAGGTCTGGTACCAAGAGGCAGTGGAACAAGATCCCACGTTCCATTACAATGTAAGGAATCCATTTCATCCTGCATTGCTTTCTGCGAGCCCGGATCAGACAGATCATCTTGCACACTTGTAAGAACAAGAGTAGTACACAACTTGGAACAGAAACATGAGAAACATAGTAATAAAGATTGATAAGAAATGTAATTAGCAATGGGATGATTAGTGACACAAGGCCCAGTACCTTTACGAAGGGCAATAGAAAAAGAGTCGGATGCAGTAAATGGTGTTGGATTCAAAGACTAAAGAAGCTGATGGGGCATAGCAGCAGACGGCTTTGATCTCCAAGTATAAACCTGTAATGGAGCAATGGGTTGCGGTGGACTAGAATGACTGGGTAACAATAACAATGCGAGAGGAAGCAGAAAAGAGTGTGAGGACATCTCGGGAGTAATATCAAGAAGAGGACTTTATCTGAAAAATACGGAATAAACACATCTCAGGAGTAATATCAAGAAGAGGACTTTTATCCGAAAATTGCATAACAGACTCACAAAAAGAGACTTCAACTCTAGCAAAGTATTGCTAAAGGGTAGGACTACCTGGTAACCCTTATAGGAAAGGAGAATAACCAAGAAATGCACACTTAGTGGCACAAGGGTCAAGTTTATCTAAACTAGTCCAAGATTGTGAACATAACATACACACCCGAAGACTTTAGGAGGAAGAGGAAACGAAGGAGAATCAGGAAACAAAATAGAGTGAAGAAATTTCCCATTCAACACAAAAGATGGCAAATTGTTTATGATGTCCTACATCGAGTGGGGAGTAGAAGTTCCTGGCATGGACAAGCTCATACGGTTAAGGCCAGCAAAAACGCCGGGTCCTAGGAGAGGGTGATTGTGACGTCCAACATCACCTGGGGGGAGAAGTTACTGGCATTTATATGTGTGGACACCCCTTAACCATATAGACGTGTTTTGAAAACCATGAGCATGGAAAGCAAACATTATCTACATGGGATGCATATGAAATAAGAGAGTACAGGTCACTTCCAATAGGTGATGATTCTTACGTTCAGTCGCACCATTTTGTTGTGGGGTGAAAACACGTGATGTTTGATGAATAATGCCTTTATCACGAAGATACATATGGAATGAAACTTATCAAAATGTAAGACACGAATTAAACATCCAAATTGGGTTTTCATTTCTTGCGAAATATTTGAAGGATTGAAAAAACTCAGATTGATCTTTCATTATGAAAAACCAAGTTATACGAGAATGATCATGCACGAAAGTCACAAAATTATGAAATCCATTAATAGAAATAATTTATTGAACCCAGACATCTCAATGAATCAACTGGAAAAGAGTGGACACTTGATTATCAATCTTAGATTTGAAAGTCACACGATGATACTTAATAAGTTGACAAGCTTCACATGACAAAGACAACATACGACTAAGACTTGAGGCTTGACGCTGCAAAACTGGAACCATTAGCAAGAGTGACACTCTGAGAAGGAGTGATAGAATGAACAAATAAATTATGAGAGCAACCAGTAATATAGTTTGATGCTCTCGAATCAATAATCTAAGGACTGTGAGTGGAAAACAGTAAACATGCGGATGAATACCAGATTGAGCACAGATAGCCATGAAAGATGATGATGACACCTGTTGCGGAGACAAAAGCTGAGGATAGTCAGCGCATGGGATAGTGATCATATCAGATTCAATGGATTGGGCATGTAAAATGGGAATATCCTCCTAATAGGAAACTTTATTTGCATAAGGAAAGTGTTTGTCACGAAGATCCCAACAATGATTGACAATATGATTAGTACAACCACAGTAAGTACCTCTCTGTGGTTCTCTACCCTGATCGCATCCTCCCCTTATCTGAGTATGAAGTGTCACATACTTGTCCACGTCAGTAGATGCCATACTAGAGGAAGAGAAAAGGAACAAATCTTGAATTGGATGAAGAAATCAATAAAACCAAAGAATAGGGCTGGCTGGAATGCGTGGAAAAAAATGGCCGGAAAAGGGTGAAAATGATAAGGAAAAATAAAATAAAAAATGAACTGGCCTTAATGAGTTGGAACTAACCAAAATCTGAACTGGTCGGAAAACTGAACTGGTCAGATTGGCCAGAAAAGATGACAAAAAAATGGCTGGGTTGCTTCAGTTGGGATCAGGTCGGGTTGAACTGGTCTGGTCGAGCCTGGTTTTACTACACTTTTCAGATCGGGACAGTAGAGGTTGGTCGATCGGAGCCCCTCTTTTCCTTCCTCTGCTCTGTTATCTTATGATTACCCTCGTCGCTGCAACTCTTCCCAACGACGACGACAACCACAACTAACCTATGGCTACTTCATGACGGCAATGGCAACAATGGTGATCTAAAGTGATGCTCTACAGTGACCACTACATGACAATTACGAATGACAACGACAACGATGAAATCACCAGCGATAACCATACAGCAAACCCGCTCTGACATGTTGAAATTAAGGCATGAAGAATACAATAAGATGACAACACTGAATTGAGAAATTTTGTGGGAGAGAATATTCACCATTTTTCTTCTCTCTCTCTCTCTCTCTCTATATATATATATATATAAAAATCAATTGGGACTACAGTGAAGAGAGTATTTGACCTTGGAAGAAATACAAATTACATATATACATTCTACCAGTTCTGAAATTAATCAAATATTACATCCATTTTACAATCAAGAAATTTTTGCAAAATATGACTTGTTGTATATACTTCTGTAACTCGCTAATAGAAAATTCAGTAGTTACAATTCACTGATGTGCCTTTCTCATTGTAGAAACCAAAACACAAGTCTACAAGCTTCCAACTTAAAATCATAGATTCAGATGCATTACGTGATAAGGCATGTTACCAACTGAGGTTTTTATTAAATAAAATATAAGTATATTATAGTGAAAGCAGAAAACCAAAGTATGTACCTGCACAAATTTTACAAGTGTGACACGACCTACACCTCTGATAGAGACTAAGGCTCCGACATCTAATCGCTCAACCTGCATTGCGGTGAAGGATGATTGAGGCCATTAAATATTTTCAGTGTTTATGATATTAATATTCGCAGAAACACAAACAGCTTACTTTTTCTATGACAACCAAACAACCATATCTAGCAGCAAACGATGCTTCTGCTGATGCATCAGTAGTAGCAATAGGATCCAACACAAAATACACAAAAAGCTTCTTCTTTCTAAATAAAGACTGCAACAATAGAATACAGAGACATATTATAAGTAACATTTCATTAAAAGTGCTCAAGGGGGGAGCGCGCCCAAAGAACAACTACACAAAAGACCAAAAGAGGCCAGTTATACTCTCAAGCTATCTGCAAAATCCACAAAATCCCCCAAAGACTTAAAATTTCGCCCACTAACCCAAACTAATAGAAAACTCAATACAAAATGTTCGATAAACCAAACATCACTTGTTTGACAAACTATCCACAACTTTTCCAATTTGAGACATAAACCGTGCCAAAACTAAACATATTAGCAAAATTGGTTCCTTTCCGATGTATCCATCAAACAAATATATTTAACAAACTTAATCAAACTATCAGGTTCTGATCAACTTTTTCTTCTTTTTTTGTAGGTGAAATATTGCTCATTTCCTTCCTAGCCTTTAAAGCGTTCACTAAAAACATGCACAATTTGAACCACACGAAATGTAAGAAATTTTTGCATAAGAAATTGACAATTGATCTTCTCAATCCATGTATAAAATTTACGTAAACACGTGGAATCACATTCATACTATAATCCCAAAAATAGAATACCTTCATTAACATATGCATGACCCTTCAAGAATACATAAAGGATGCAGGATAATATCTAGTACCTCCTCCAGCAATGCTAGATATCTTGCTTCGAATAAATGAAGTGTCCTGCACTCAGATGGAACAAGTATCTGTATTACCAAAAAAAATGTCAAAACAAAAGCGTTGTCCATAACATGGGAGTGAGGAAACAGTGGTATACATCATTTCCTTTTGATGAAGTGTAAATAGTAATTTCATTAAAAGGAATATATATATGTGTGTGTGTGTGTGTGTGTGTGTGTGTAACTTTGTTCCTGAAAAGGTTTTAAATCAATGTTTCTTTAAAATAAATTAAAAAATTAAAAAAAAACAGTTAAACTACCTGCTCAAATAACTAGTCGATGGTTTTTATTCATTTATTTAGTAAAAGATAATATTCAGCACATGAAATAAACTTTGGATTCATAATGCTCAGTGTCTTCCCCCCTAAACAGAGGAAGTTCTTATTTCTCAGTTTTTTTTCTCAAAATATAAGTTCTGTCAGAGCTATACAATATATTGACACTACAAACAGAAAATGCAGAAAAATGAGTCATGCATTTCTTAGTGGTTACCTAAACCAATCTTTTTCACCGTTCCACCCTACATAGAACCATACATTCTATATGAGTCAACCATACCTTTCCACACAAGCTCCACCCACAATCTTTTTGGCTTTTTATTGCCCTCAAGTATGAGGTTTGCTATATGAATCCTTTGAATATTCAATCCTATGAGACAGCATGTTCTGATATATATAAGGACATCATGCTTTCATACACATCCTCAAACCATGATTTTCAGCTATTTTCTTCTCTTGGTAGTGTTCCATGTTCTTTTAACCAGAGCATAACGTGAGGGATAAACCCTTCCCATCTGAAAATTCCTTTCAAATTTTTTATTTTTATTATAAAAAGCAAATAATGGTTTAAAAAAAAAAAAAAAAGTCATCCAGAGATATATATAACAAATATTTTAACATGTATTAACAATTTTTTTTGTGAAATTTTAGTAGCACGCTAGCATGGTAAATTTTATGACTGTTATTTTATCAGATATTTAGTCCCATGAAGATCATTCAAAGATATCGTCACAAGTTATTTCAACAACATGAGATGTGGGCCTCATTATCTGCAGCATGAAGGAGTACACAAAACTCTGACTACACATTGGATTTTGAGATGTACATATAATCACATATTCATTCCTCATTAACCTTTGATACTTTAAACATTTTTCAACCGCCTTGCCTTGAGGCAGCCTTCGTGGTGAGCCTAGAAGAATTTCCCTTAGAAATCCTCGCAGTGCCAGATCGAACTGTCTGGCCCATAAATAAACCCATAAAAGTGTGCCTGTACTAGCCATCTTACAAACTTTATTTATTACTATAGATCGCCATCAAACACTCCAAAAGCACCTGTCTCATTTTGAAATGAATTGAGACATGCATGACAAAACAATTTACCGTTACTGTATTAAAACAATTTACTGTTACTGTATTAGACAGTAAATTGAGACATGCATCTAAAGGTTTCACTGCTAATGTATAAAACAATTTACTGTTACTGTATTAGACAGACTTAAAAGTGAAATTGTAGCAAAAGAAGTGCATGAAATCTTGAACGAGACAAATAAGATGGCTAAAAAATTATTGATTTTGTTATATAGGTTGAGTTGAAATGTGATCATTTATCAACACGTTGCAATAGTCTGAATTTGAATATATATATATATATATATATATATATATAAAGCAAATACGACTATTCTATGTGGCAACGGAATGTTGGGTAGTCGAAAAACAAAATGAAGGATTTCGTAAACTTAAGCCTGCTTAGACAACCACTTAAAGCCTGCTTAGATAACCCTTTAATCTAAATGGACCTATTTCCTACTTATATAGCAGTTGATGTAAAGGTTCATCATTTTTTTAATTAAACCGTCCAAAATTGAACATTTCAATATATTCTCTCATATAGTCATACATAGGCTTTCTTTAAAATATTATACTCAGAAATTTCAAACATTACCTTTAAGATTGTTGTTATTTCCCGAACAATTCCATTCAATATTCTTACACACACTAGTAAAAAGTGAATAGCCTATTCTAATTCAAGAGAACATTCAAACGTGCCCTTAGGAACAAAAGATGTGTAAGAACATCACAGTGTGAATTTGAGATACAATTATTGCTTATAGAAGAAGAAGAGCTCACCTGGTCTATAGGGAACGGAAGAAGAGGGAGCTCTGCCAACGAAGAGAGCACGTGTGGGTTGAAACGGCGTCGTTTCAGGGTGCTAAGCTCACGATTGCGAACAAGGTTCAATTGGGTTGAAGAATCAGAACTCAGGAAACGAGAGAGTCGATGAGGGTATGATGCCAAAAGGGATTTGATGGGTCGTCTTCTTCTGGTAAGAATGTTTTTGCTACCGATAAGAGAAGTAGTAAGTGAAGGGCTCACATTGAGGTTGAGGTTGAGGTTGAGATTGAGACTGAGAGTGGGTTTAGCCTTAGATGCCATGGATGGTTCTTCTTTTTGCCTATCGGAAAGGAGGGTTATGCCAAGTGCTCTTTAGGACACCGAAACAGCATTGCAGTCTCAACGGTTGGGAAAAAATGAGAATATTCGAGGGTAAATTACACTCACATGGCGAAATAAAATTATAAATATTATGTTTGCATCTTTTAAACTTAATTCATTTTTCTTGTTTATAAATACGATATTAGTTTTAAAATACTCCAACCAAGCATATCCCGTAATCCCGGACCAGATAACGATTTGGACTCCTGAATTTAGGTCGTTTGAACTGCACTTTCAAATTAGTTCTTTTTCCGTTAGTTACAGAAGTCTCCCAAAGTCTTTTTTCAAGGCAAAAATTTTTTTTTGAAGGTGGTCATTCCAGTCCTTCTTGTATTCGTCTGATCCCAACAATTTTCAACTGGAATATTGTTTGGAGCTCCCTTTTGGAACGACAGCAATTCCTGGCACGTCCGCAACCTTTTCCATTCGCCTGGAAATGACCATTTTTTGTTAGCCAAACATCACTTATTTGATATGTGCGGGAATCGATTCCTTTTCCATTTGGGACTTTCCAAAAGGTCTAAACTTGTGGAGGGAATTATTTCTTATTGGGATACTACTATTTTATAGTTGGAAATTTTTTGGTAACTCCTTAGCACGCTAGTTGTGAGAACTATTGTTCAAGGAATATATTGAGAACTTTATAAATAAAGGTGGAGTTGAGTAGAGAAGGTAGAAAGAGAAGAAAAGATGTTGGGTGTGAAAGGGTGAACGTTATGAGGAGAGGAGAGAGTATATGTAATTTATTTGTGTAAGAGTAGTAGCCTTGAAGTATAATCAATGAGTAAGTAGGGCATGGTGTGAATGGTTGTATATTCACTTCCTTGATTTATAAATTAAAATAGTTTGGATCGGGCACATAAAATATTGTATTGTATATGAATGTGATTGTTAGCTTTGTATAATTATGGGATTATAATGTATCCACTGTGTATGCAAAGAAAAATTATAAAGCTTAATGATTAATTATTCATCAAATTCACACCCATAGAATGAAAAATAATTCATGAGCATATTATATCTTATATTTGGTCGAATTGTGTTGTATTATTGTGAAATCGATATGATCATAATTTATCTCGAATTTGTTAATTTAATGTATTATCAAACTAAATATTCAATTTATATTAACTAGGGAAAAAAAATATTCAATTTATATCAAGTTACTTGATTGGATTCAGAGTAAATTCCAATCAGTTGACAAACCTAGTAGGTGTATTGAAATGGTGTATTTATTAAAATCAGAGTAGGGAGAGTTCACCTAAATAGTTAAATTGAGTTCAATTTGATGCCTTTCATCGATTCTGCGCTTGAGCATTTGCAACATTGATTGGCTCTGGGGTTCACTTCACAAGCTCAAGCGATGATATCATCAAAACCTCTCACTTCCCTCGTAAACCAAGTAGTGGCCGTTATGATCCAAAATAGACCCTTTGATGCTCAACTTGCTTCTTTAACCACCACTATCACTTCCCATCAACCATGGACTGTTGAAGCTGTTTCTGAGTTTATAAGATCCATACCCAGATTCTTCTTCCAATCCACAAGATCTATTGCTCGTCAAAAAGGTTTTCGGCACCGAGCACCTCTCAAACAGAGAAATTTGCGGGAAGAATCCAATAGAGCTCTCAAAGGTGTGCTTGTTCTTGGTCCTGCTACTTACAAATACCCCAAGAAAGTTGAGTTAGGATTGGACAAAGCAATGGAGTTCTATTATTGGGTCAAGACCTAATTTGGGTTCACATATAATGAGAGGACTTGCAGAGAGATGGCTTGTGTGTTAGCCAAAGGGAATAGATTGAAAGCCCTTTGGGAATTTCTGAACGAAATGGCAAAGAGAGAGAGTGGAGGGATTGTGGTTACCTCGACCGTTACATGTTTGATTAACGTTCTAAGAGAAGAGGGGTTGGTTAATGAAGCATTGGCTACATTTTACAAGATGAAGCAATTTCAATGCAAACCAGATGTTTATGCTTATAATATTGATTAGTTCTTATTGTAAGCGTAGCCTGCAAACTGGGTGCAGGAAGGCCATTAGGAGGAGGTTGTGGGAAGCAAACCACTAGTTTCGAATTATGCTCTTCAAGGGTTTTGTTCCTGATGGTGTAACTTACAACTGTTTGATTAATGGTCGATGTAAGACTAACAGAATTGGAAGGGCTTTGAAACTTTTTGATGACATGACCAAAAAGGGTTATCTCCCAAATCGAGTTACTTATAATTCTTTCATTAGATATTACAGCGCTGTTAACGAGATTCATACAGCTGTTGAAATGTTGCGGAGGATGCAAAAGATGAATCACGGGATGTTAGGGATAATTAACTCCCTCCAACCCACTCAACGGTCAGCTGTTGTTGAGTTAAATCCCTTCTTCATCACACACAGCAGAAGCATCATCACATCGCATCACATTAACACAAGCATATATAGAGATAACAATCATGCACATCCACGCATAACACAATATTTTACATGGTTCACCCAACTCTAGGGTTACGTCCATGGGAGAGAGAGATTTCACTATTATGAATCAAGGAAGAGAATATACAACCACAAGTCAAAACCGCACTCACTCACTCATCATCTCTTTTGAGGCAACATGTATACACTCGGGAATTACATATACTCTCCCCTCACAACACTCACCCTTAAACTCCTTACATATTTTCTCTCTTCTCTCTCTCTAAACCCCTCATACCCATGTCTATTTATAGAGTCTTCAAAACTCAATTCCTTATTGGACAAGTATTCCTCAAATCCAATTTCTTGTTGGACAAGGATCAACTTACCTACAAGGAGTTACCATATCCATCTTCAACTCTAAAATAATAGGTATAACTTCTTTCCCAAATCTTTAGCCTTTTTCCCTAAGTCTTCTGGATTCCAAAACAAATTAGGAAACTATTTCTCGCAGCTTCCAAAATGAAAAAGGAAAACGAATTTTCTGCGCACAAATTTTGAGCCGCAAACCCAACAATCTCCACCTTGGCTCAAAATTCAATCTTTACGTGCTTCTCCGTAGCTCCACCTTGAACAAGGATCTCTTCATAACTCCACCTCAACTGAAGATTTCTCTACCTCAAATAAAGCACTATGATGAACTTGAGAAACACTCTAACAATCCCACCTTTTTCTCAAATTTCATCATTCTTCTTTTATATATCTTCTCTATTTATCTCATTGGTGTTCAATTGCTCACGCATAACAACCCACCAATCTTCAAACTCATCTTCATCAATTGCTTTTCTGGATCAAAGCAACAAACCTCTCCTCTTCACTTATCATATTCCCCTTTGCTCTTTATCGGGCTTAGAGCAAACCCCTTCATTCTTCACACCCCTTGCCCCATCTTGAGAACTAGCACCCACTCTTGACTTGTCCTTAAAATTGTTCCTCGTGGGCTTTACCTCTATCACCTTTGCCCCATCTCGAAAACGAGCATCCTCTGGCTTGTCACAAGACTTGTTCTTCATGGGCTTCACACCATCACTTTCTTCGTACCTTCGTGTCATCATCAACTTTGACTGAATCTCCATAGCACCTCACTATCATCCTCTGCTCTGACAAACTTCGCAGCAAACTTCTTCTACTAATCTTCAGGACCAATCACAGGCTCTGACCCACCATCGGCTCTGATATCAGTTGTTAGGGATAATTAACTCCCTCCAACCCACTCAACGGTTGGCTGTTGTTGAGAGTTAAATTCCTCCTTCATCACACACAGCGGAAGCATCATCACATTACATTAACACAAGCATATATAGAGATAACAATCATACACATCCACGCACAACACAATATTTTACATGGTTCACCCAACTCTAGGGTTACATCCATGGGAGAGAGAGATTTCACTATTATGAATCAAGGAAGAGAATATACAACCACATGTCAAAACCCCACTCACTCACTTATCATCTCTTTTGAGGCAACATGTATACACTAGGGAATTACATATACTCTACCCTCTCCTCACAACACTCACTCTTAAACCCCTTACATATTTTCTCTCTTCTCTCTCTCTCTAAACCCCTTATACCCATCTCTATTTATAAAGTCTTCAAAACTCAATTCCTTATTAGACAAGTATTCCTCAAATCAAATTCCTTGTTGAACAATAATCAACTTACCTACAAGGAGTAACTATATCCATCTTCAACTCTAAAATAATAGGTATAACTTCTTTCCCAAATCTTTAGCCTTTTTTCCCTAAGTCTTCTGGATTCCAAAATAAATTAAAAAACTATTTCCCGCAGCTTCCAAAATGAAAAAGGAAACTAATTTTTTGCGCACAAATTTTGAGCCACAAACCCAACACGGGATACCCAGTACAAGTTCTTATACCCCAGTCATCCATACCCTATGTGAAGGAGGAAGGATCACAGAGGCGAGGAATTTTCTTGTTGAGTTGGTTGATGGTGGATCAATTCCGAGAGAATATACATACAAGTTTTTATGTGATGAGCTGAACTGTGCATAAGAGGCCAATTTGCTAGATGATGAACTGCATAGGAGAATTGAAGATGGTATTAAAAATAGTAATAGGCAAGTGATGCAGGTGAAACCTATTATGAACCGCAAGATTTCTTAGTTACATAGGGAAGTTAGATAGTTTGGAGGAATGTGGTATTCTCCATCATCATTTTAAGAATATTATATGAAAAAAGCCTACAAGTCTATAGCTCTACCTCTGCCGGTAAGAACCAAAGCCGTGGATTCAATTCCGAATTCTTTTACTATTTTTCTTTTTATTGCTTAAACATAGCAATTCAAGTCAGTGCAAGTGCAAACCATTAACAACATCTGGCTTATATGATTTCATATTTTATAGGTTGAAGAAAAGCCAAACAGATAAAATTTAAATCAGTGGTGATGATCCTATAGAATGAATAGAGTAAGCACATTGTACAAGGGATTTTCTTATTGAATTGGTTGATGATAGATCAATTCCAAGAGTGTATACATATAAATTTGTGCATGATGCGCCGAACTCCACAGAAGCTATTTGCAGGATAATGCATTGCGTAGGAGAATTGAAAATGGTATAATAAGTGTAGGCAAATGATAAAGGTGAAACCAATAATGAACCCATGAGTTCACTGTAACATGGGAAAATTTGATAGTTTGGAGGAATGAGATATTCTCCATCTTCATATTGAGAATGTTATATAACAAAACCCTGTGAGTTTTCAACTCTGGTTAAAATCCAGTTACATATCTTACATTCTCAGAAATTTCTATCTAAGATGTGTTAGATGTTGTTGTTTGTATTTCTGCTGATCTTCTTGTGTTTTCTTTTTAGTTTAATTTTTCATCTTGATCTCACATATAATGCGTATTTGATTGATTCCATTATGATTTCCAAACACCTCTTTATCTGTTTCGGTGAAAAGATGTTGATTTCCTGGAGCGATGTGCATATAGCAAGTGCCTATGAATTGTCTCTCGATGAATGCTGGCTGTGGAGTACGGGGTTTTGTTATGTAAGTGCTTAGAGTTCTGATTTGATATGTTTAATCAGTCTCTAAGGTTTTGGTGTATTAATGCAAATATAATGCTTTAGTGCAGAAGCATGGTGTATTAGGGAAAACTATTTAATACAGGAGTCTTATGCTCTTATTTGGAAACAATGTTTTTGCAGGTCATGCTGGAGTAGTCAAGGTTTAATGTCGGCTTCAGTTTACCTTTGAGATGTGATTTTTTGATTGCTGTGGTAAACTCTCGATGGTTAGATTTATGAAATTGGCGGTGACATGATGAATAGGTATGCTTTTATTTGTTGAATAGTAATTCCCCAACCCCGTCATCTACATACATGCTTCATTAGTTTGATGGGATCTGGGAAGCACGAAAATGAAATGGAAATCTTTTCACTTTGCTGCACATAATGTAGACATTTGTTGATCTCCTGCTTGTTTTATCAATTTTTTTTTAATTTTTTATTTATATTTTATTTTTAATGCTTTTTACACTTTATTATTACACAATGATCAATTGATTAATATAAAGTTTACATGACATTTTCTCTGAAATTTCTTGCAACGTTGTCTCGCGTGGTTGATTTGTTCTAATATGTTTTGTAGGACTTGCTCAGTCTAAAGCAGACCCAACTTCTGTTGGCGTTGCTTTGCATAACACTGCAGTTGCTAACTTCAAGTATTACCACCTGAATTCTGAGCCGAACTACCTTCTTTCTTTCTTGACATATATAATTTTTGACAAGAAGAAAAACACTTTTGATACCAAGAAATATCATGGTATTAACTTCATGGCTGATGCTACGGAACTCCAACAATGATGCAAATGTCTTTGCACTACAAATAGATGACAGAAGTGAAAAACAGTATCAGTCGTGGAAGACAGGATCGAGAGAGAGAGATATGGAAAGCATGGAGCAGCAACGTCAACATTCTGGAAAGCATGGAGCAGCAACGTCAACATTGTGGAAGGTGTAACTGCATCATAGCTGTTGACAGAACTCCACCATCCATTGCAAGTAACAACAACAAAGAATATGAACATGAGGCTCAAAAGCACCAGATCTCTCTTTTTCTCTCTCTTTCCGTGTAATGTCTTAGTTATTTCCTTCATATTTTTTCTTCACATGAAATTCATATGATTGCTTCCCCCAGACTTTCCGAATTCCAAGTGAAAGGTAGAGAGTTTTGAGTGTCCCAAGTGCATTGTGGGAGTTAGTTGTCAGGACAAATATATAAATAAACTTTCGGAGTTCTCCAAACAAGCTAATATACTCTCCGATAGAAGAATAATCCTAAACCTTTGCCGGAACTCAAAAATAGAACAAAAATAAAAAATATAGCGTGCTCAAGTACCTTTTTATTGTACGATTTTAATCAGATAATCTACGTTGTAGTACTTAAAAGTGCAAGACACACCAACAGGTTAGTGGTCTAGCGATACCAAACCCGTACTTCTCAAAGAGAGGTCAGGAGTTCGAGCCTTAGTGGAGGCATGTGTGTATGAGTATCAAGTAAGGAAAAAAAAAAAAAAAAAAAGTGCAAGACACCATCAATAAATCTGAATCCAATGAGGTCGTCTCTTTTGAGTAGTCTGTTTCCAATCATTTTGTAAACACCTCTAAGACGAAAGCTCCTTCCCGCCCTTTTCGTTGAAAACTTATACTCCCTATTCTCATCATCTTCATCCCATGCCGTAAATTCTTTGCCTTCAACACTGTGTTCTAAGGCTCATTGCAGATACCACTAAGTTCCTTGTTTACTACCTCTCAAAGTAAATGATGAATATTCGAGCCTTTAAATTGACAAAGTAAGTGTGAAAGTGATGTGCGTGTGTTTTTTGCCCAAAAAAAACACTAGCTGCTCCGAAGCAGAAGACAGGGCTCTTGCAGCGAAATGTCCACCTTGGCAAATTAAGGGTCCGAAATTAAACTGCACCAAGCATTGGAAATGCACTTGCAGGTAAGAATCCTCTTCACAGAGTGTCTTACTTGAATATTGACAACGATGCGTGTTGGAAGATCTATGATCAAACGCCCTGGACTCTGAATTGGTTCATTATTGCAGGACTTTTCTGCTCCTTTTTTGCACCTCTAGGTTATTTATTATTATTTTATTCTTATCATCATGGTTTAGCTCTGCTAGTTGTATTCTATAAAATCTCAAAAGCATGGACGAACCCAGTAAGTAACATAAAAGAAAAATGAAACAACTAATTAAGCCTCTATAACACAAAATACTATTAACACCACCAAAATTATGAAAGAACTATGGGAGATAACACAAACAAGGTATATACTATATAAGATATATATATAGAAAGAAAGACAGAGATTACTTAACCTACCTCCCGGACAAGAAAATAGTCTTTTAACAACACACTTTCTACAAGGGGCATGCATAGCTCTTGTAGAAAGTATTTTCTACAACAGGCCCGTGTAAGCCCTTGTAGAAGGGTAGTTTTCAACAATAGGCTCGCATGGTCCCTTTTAAACGGTACTATCTATAATGGGCCAGTGATCCGTTGTAGAAAAGGTTTTGTACAATGGATATAGCCCATGATCCGTTGTAGAAAAGGTTTTGTACAATGGATATAGCCCATCATAGAAACCTATTCCCCCCCCCCCCCCCTTAAGAAAAAAATTGACTGTATTTCTTAACCAGGGATGAAAATTTTCTCCCTCTCAATCTTATAAACCAACAAGCCCCAACCTTCTACCCTAGACATTCTGAACTGTCTGTAATCTGATTTTTGACTTCTAAGATGTCGTTTCTCAGAGGAGAATTGCCCAGGAATTTGTTTTTTGGCTTCACTCACAACTTCCACTACATCCGCTTCCGTTGCTGCGGGTACCCTTTTTGGTTCACGGATAAAGTTCGAGTATTCTTTATCTATCTCTTTATATATGCACACATATTTTTGATGCATGTTTATTTGAAGCAATTGTTTGAGCATCGTAGTTAGGGTTCTGAATTAACCTCCAACGTTATATGGGTAACAGGATGAAAATGATGATGATATATCTCTAAAGCCCATAGACCTTGGGAATTTTGATTTGAATTGATTTTGGTAACCAATCTTATTTTCTGAATCAACTTCATCTCACATCATGACCTAAGGAATGAAATAAGCCACAATTTTTTAATAACCAAAGGTTAGGAATGTCCCATATTCTTGACTAACGCTGGTAATAGACAGTACTATATAACACCATTGGAACATTTTTTTTTATTGGCTTTTTGAAGAACAGGGGAAATTATCTATAAATTATTAACAAGTGTGTGTAAAAGGGTGGGTTATCCTTATTTTGAAATTTGATTCTTAAGTCATGGCCTTGTTATCCTTTATTTTGAAGCTAATAATTTCAGTGGAAAAAATACTAGGCTGAAAGTTGTCTCAATTATGATTTTCTATTTCCATAATTATAGAGCTATTGATGGAGCTGCAATTTCTTATTTTTGCATCATACCCATGTTTCTAACATGTTTTGAATTGATAAATCGTATAAGAAAATCATATTTTGGGCAAAAACAATATGTTCTATTTGCTGTCATTTCCATTTATTGATCTTGAAACCTGAGGTCAGTTTGTGGGTTAAGTGATGCCTTTGATTGATCTTGAAAGCATGTGTAGAAAGGCATAGTGGATTAATTTTGCTGTAGAAAGGCATGCTTAAATTCAAGGTATTTTGACCTTAGAAATTAAGTTTTATTGTGAAACCATATTACTGTCTTACGTCCTGTTTTATATGACAAAGCATTAGAAATGTTTTTTTCTTTCATCCAAAGGCATGGTAATAGCAACTCCAAATATGTTTTTTTTCTCTGAACTTTCACATTGAGAGGGTTAGATTGTTATTAATATTCATTTTCCTTGTAGGTATTGATACATTTCTGCAACCAATAAATGCAGCCGGTAATCAAGAAAATGCTCAGCAGTTTTCTGCAGTTTAATCTTTGCCCCATGATAATGTGCCCAATGGATCACCAGTTCAAGGATCCAGTGTTGCGAAGTGTTTGTTCAATCAGCCTAATCAATCCCCTCCAACTAATTCGTCTGGTCCCATGACACCTTTCAGAGCAACTTCCTCTCAAACTGACAAATCTGTTTCTCCACTCACTGCTACTCCAAGTAACAATGTTGCAGCCCATCTAGTAACCGCACTGTAATCACTTAAGAGACAATTAGAGTAAGCCCTGCCAAACAAGTAACTTATTATTCCATTGAGAGGAATCACTATATTTCATCTTCCTCACCAGTCAAGACAAATTTGAAGAGGCTTGGCATAAGAAATCATGTAAAAGGCAGGCTAGATTTTGATGGTTCTGACATGCCAGTTAACTCTGAAAAATCGATAATTGATAAGGTTCCAATGTCTCAATCCAACAATGACTTGGACATCTTTGATTTTGATTAAACTAATATAGATGCTCTTGGAATGGATTTTTGCCTCTCTGAATTGTTGGTTGATTTTGATCTTGATGGTGAGGGAATTAATTATTCTTGCCAGCCAGCCTTGGGTTCTCCAGACTCCCTTTCTGGGTAATTGTTTTCCCTTTGATTGTATCTTATCTATAATCCTAAGCATCTCTATCACCCCTTTAATGCCATCTAAATAATTTACTTCTATTATTATTATTCTGTTTATTCACAGATCCTAAAACGAATCAGGAGATGCTACTCTGGGTGCTAATCAAGTTTTATCTGAGTTTTCATCCACTGTGACAGAAGTTTTTTCAGAGAACGGCATGAATACACAAGGTATAGAGACTCATCTTTTGTGTAATTTTATTACATCCTGTTAATTGTGATAAATTTCTTATGTACTTTCCCACTGTTCTTTTCATGACCAGCAGGCCCAGATTCTGTGACTAATGTGAAGTCCATAACAAAATGCATTAAGATATTAAGTCCTGGTAACTATACTATTCAATTCGTCTCCTTCTATCTTGAAGAATTTAGAATTACTGATATGGGTTGTCTATTTTAATTTCAGCAAAGAATCATACATGCTCTACTTTGGATCGGGAGAATCTGTCAGCAAGAAGCTGACTGGCTTAACAATACCGACTACTCATATATTGACATGGACCAATGCAGTAATTACCACCTGATGTTGTTATTGGGATTTATATGCCCTGGCACAGTAAATTTCTATTTGGATTATAGTGATATATATTCCTGACGTTTAAGAAATATTTATGCTTTATACAATTGGTGAATTCAATGTATTATGTTTCGATTCATTATAGAATTGATAGTGTCCATTTGATTATAAGAGATATTTATATATGTATGTGATTGCGATCTATACATGAATATAAATAGTAATCTTAAATTGTTCATAATCGGTAATTATGGATGGACTCATTATTAACTAAGACTTGAACTGGATCCGCGTTAGGTTGAGATATATTGCGAGAGCCGTTGTATGCAATTGCTCCCTATCACCGTCATGGCATTTGACTCTTAAGCATGAGAGAAGTATAGACTCTTTTATTAATTAGTAATTACTTTGATTTGTTCGGCGGAATCTTCGGAATCCTTGGACTAGCACTTTGGGTAATTATGTAATTAATAGTTAGAGGGTTATATTTTCAATATTTGCATCATTGCTACTTGTATTTATTTTGTATTGATTATGGTTGATCACAAAGTAAATTCGAAGACCTTCGTGTGGTTTTAGACAAAATGATTTATTATATATTTATTTATTTAAATTATTATTTTTGTCAAACAAATGTTTTATTGTGATCGAGTCAGAAATAATCAAAGATACCAAAATAAATATATTAATTAAGTAGTCGGATTGATAACTTTATTTATCCGATAACTAATTATGCATAGATGAGTCAAAGTGCAACATTGACTTAGAGGTTATTTATTATTTAATTGGAGTTCAATTAATTTCTTTTAGTGGGGTAGAAATTAATTAATGAATTAATTTAATTGGGTCCATGGACCGGGCCAATTATTAATTCATTGTAGTCAAGAAAATAATAAGCCCAATAGGATTCTCACTCATAGCCCAACTTGATATTGGAATCCTATTAGATTTGAGATATGTGAATTAGAGATGGAGAATGACTTATGGTTTCCTTTTCTGATTTTTATGTTGCCTATATATACATGGGTTCATGTATATTTTAGTAGTGACTTTTAGAAAAGAAAAGGAATATATTTTTTCTCTTTCTAAATTTTAGGGTTTGCTTTCTCATCTAATGGAGGGTCCCACAAGCCTAATTTTCCAAGATTATTCATGGTGGCTTATGAGTAATTCCTAAAGGCAAAACAATTACCAAGAAGATGGAGATCCAAGGAGAAGACATCTTGCTAAGAGATCTACAATAAGTGAGAACATTCATTTTAGAGGAAAGATTTAAAGGTTTACTCAGACCTTTGATGTAATTATTCAATCTGTTAATTGAATGATACATCATATTTTATTTTTGCATAAAATTTGTCTCTATGTGATGAATCAAAATTTATGAATTAAAATCCCTCGAAAAGTTTTTAAAACTTGCACGTTTTCCAACAGTTGTAACTTCAAAGTTTAACAAATTTGCTTGAACTGACATTGATTTTGTCTAGCATTAGACTAATTTCCCTTAAGATTGCCTGTTAGGCTTTTACATACAGATTTAATGTTCTCCTCTACCTAAAATAAAAAAAACCTCACATGAAGTTCTGGAAAAATACAAAGCTCTAGTGTACTGATATGACTAGTTGACTTTGATGAATACTATATATTACTTACAGATTTAATGTTCCTCTCTACTTAAAATAGTAAAAACCTCACATAAAGTTCTGGAAAAAATACAAAGCTCTAGTGTTCTGATATGACTAGTTGACTTTGATGAATACTACATATTTCTAGATTTTTTCTCCCTTGACTTCCACATTGAGATATAAGAGCTTTCATGAAATAGCCCTTATTGTAAGTACTATTTCATGTTTTAGAATATGTTTATATGAAGCAAATTCGTGATTGAAATTACATTGTATTTGCATTACATCTTGTGGTTCATTTCCATATCTATTTTAGTTATGAAAATAGTTATCCAACTAATATGTTCTTTAATTTTCTAAAGATGTTCTTTAATTTTATTCTATTTAGAATTCGAGGTCATATCCATATGTCAAAATCTATAGTTGTCTATAAACAGTGAGCATAAATGGTAAGAGACAATGATAGCTAAATTGTTGTGAGCAATGTGTGAATTGCTTGTCGTCAAAACCTTTATGAACATCACTATCAATTTCGTAAAAGCTTTACCTTCACTGTGTCTACAAGATTGGTTCTAAAATCAGAAACCAGAGTTTCCTTAATCACAACTTAATCCTCTCGAGCATCATATGATAAAACACCTATAGGGGTTTTTTTTTTTTTTTTTTTTTTTTTTTTTTTTTTTGTTTTTTTGTTTTTTTTTTCATTCAAAAACTATGCAATGTTCACAAAACTCTTTAAAAAGAAAAAAGAGCAGAACCATTTAATTTTGTTTCTAATAAAATCTTATTTTCCAAAATGAAAACTTAAGTTTGTGATAATGCTTACAAATCTTGATACATCAATTACTTCACTTATTTCATGCATATTAATTCATAGATCTATGTATGCCTTGATTTATTTATTTTTAATATAATTTTTCTTTCTTGAGTTCTTTAGTGAGAGTTTCGGCTAAAATTTTCTTCTTTGTTTTCAATTCTGTTTGGTTGCTTAGAGTCTTGCCTTGAATGCTTTGGAGGGAAAGTTTTTGCAACCTGAGCGTGGTAGGAAATGCCTTGGTTGTGTTGGTATTGAAAATTTTATATTCCTTGTACAGATGGTAACAATGAAAGGAACTATGTAATCTTTAATGAATATAAAATAAGTTTGGGATCTATTTGTTAATGATTAGTGGGATCTGGATGTAAATTTTCATTTTTATTATATTGTTTGTATAAGGCTTGGTGTGGATATATATACCTTTGGGTGGATTTATGGCTGTGTTTAATTGTACTAATTTTTGTGTCGGGGGCAATGTATGGCAACCATTAATTTTTTATTTTTTTTTTAAATTGCTTTTTACAAGGGGCCAGACCCCTAGTAGAAAACACTCTTTCTACAACAGGTGTGACCCGTGGTAGAAAGTGTTTTTTCTACAACGGGTTCAACCGTCATAGAAAGCCTACTTTCTACAATGGGTTGGATTCATCATAGAACACCCTTAGTCAACAACAATAGGGAATACCACAACGGGCCATACCCATCGTAGAAATCGTTTTCGCCCCTTGTTAAAAGGCATTTTTCTTGTAGTATAAATCTCGTCACACTTGTAGAGATGGAAAGGAAATAAATTTCACAATATGTTGTAAAACATGCTCAACTAGTTCATTTGGAGTTTAAGGAAGAAATAGTTGTATGAGAGCAATTCTTTCTAGTACCCCTTTTATGGCTTATAGTTTCCCTCCTTCATGCACATCTTTTTAACCTCGATCTGTCTTTGATCAATGCTCTCAAAAATAATATTGCAATAGCTACTACTCTGTTAAAAGTAGTTGCTGAACTTATGCACAATTAATATAGTTACAACAGCATTACCTGACAACACTTTTGTCATTTGACTACAAGCATGAGATATATATTACACAAGGAAAAGGCCAAAAGCAATATAAAACACACAAGTTATGTTCCTTGGCAAGAACTTGGCATCTAAGTGCATATTAAATCACTCTTCCGAGGAAAATTACAGACCACCATATGACAGTGCTGGAAATAATTTATTTACATTTTCACAAATCAAGCATCCTGTGTTTGTCCCCCATATCACCTAGGTACGAAGTAATCCATCCTTTCTAGAGGCAGATTTAGAACTGATGTTTCCGCCTAAACCGCAAAGAACAAACATAAAATGTTAGAAATGGAATAACAACACAGCAGTGAACAACATATATAGAGGAATTGGAAATTCATTCAACAACCAGAAAAATAAAAATAAAAATCAATCTTGAATGTTAGATTGTAAAAGACAGCTTATGATAAAAGTGCATTTGTGCCGGTCTTGAAATCCATTTAGTTGCTGAAACAATTGGGGAGAAGATAATATGATTTAGAATAGTACAACTGCAATTGGTCGACACTGGTTGAAATATTGATTTTTCTTCCTTTCCTTCCAAGAGTCTTATTCACAATATGCAAAAGTTAAGTAAAAAGCGAGTTAAAAGAAATGCCCTCTCACCCATATGTATGAGAAGATATTGGGTGAGCCGGATATAATAAGTATGCCCGGCTCACCCAATATCTACTCCATATATATATATATATATATATAAAGCCAAAGCCAAAACTTTGTAAGAGAAGTACTTTGAAGTTCCTCGAGAGCAGGTAACTTGTAATTAGCAGACTTAGAGATCTTTACCTAAGGTGAGATTAAAAATGTACAATAATTTATTTAATATTAGTACATTTTGACTGTTTCATGGTTTTGATGCTTAGCAACTTCATGGTATATTGCCTGACTACAGTATTCAAGGTAAATTTAGGGAAATTGCTCAAATTCCGACAGTTGGCTGACAAGTAAAATAGCCTCGAGTTTAACTACACAGGCTAATGGTATTACACAGTGACATCAATATGACAAAATAAATACTTATCAATATTCAACTTAACAAAACCTTATTCCAACTATTTAGGAAACAACTCTTATTTTACCATTTTGCTCTTTTTAAGACCATAACTTTAGTTAACTTAAAACGCTATCGTATCTTTTTTTACTATCTCAATCCATATTAATTATAGTCTACCTCCTTTAACTTTGCTCTCATTATTCATTTTAATTCTAGTGCATCCATTAAATAAGAGGAAATTGGCTATGAAAGCAATTAGAAGGAATGAAATTCGGTCTCTTGATTTTGTTTTCATACCAAAATAGTATGTTCTGACTTTTTCTAGCCGGTCTCTCCCGCCTAAGTCACATGGTTGGTCAAAGTGGAAGGAAAATGTAGAAAATGAGGTCCTCCCCCACCTAAGTCACATGGTTGGTCAAAGTGGACCCCACTTTGACCCAAAATATCTTTAAAAGTCCATTTTTTACAAAATAACTACAAAACATGATATAATTGTACACATAAGCACCCAATCACATAAAAATGCATCAAATATAAATAATGGAGTGTAATAATTCCAAAAGTAATCCCGAGCACAAGAAATTCGGGCGTGGGGCCTACACATGACCTCCGGGCCCAAAATCCCGAAAAAGGATAAAATGGCCCGAAATACATTTCTAAGAGTCCTAAA